GAAATCATTTGAATTTATCAGGAGCAGATTTAACAGTATCATAGTCGGTTGTGTGAAACCATCAAAAGTTGTTTCAATGTGAAGTTCAGTTCATTCATTCATGACTTATTGCAAAAATTAAGTTATTTTCAATCTGACGAGAGTCAATGTTTCGTGACAGCCACCCAATCAGTGATGGTTGCAATCTTTTTAGTCAACCTAATCGAAGATTTGCTCAATTGACCAGAGATAGTATCGCATGAGGCAACTAGCTTCGGGCTCTGAGTGTTAGCAAAGTTTAATCTGAATAATAAACCTCTGTTATCTTTTGATTGTTACATGAACCAATCAGTTGGCTGCTGACGCGCAGTATTTGAATATTTTTACAGATGTTTAATAAAGTCTTTTAATAAGTCATGTTTCGCTGGTTTTGAGAGTAATTGACTAACGATTGAGCAAATCAATATTTATATAATAAGTTTAATTTATTACAGTGTGCGTGAAATGGAGCAATTTGATTGCTGAGCGGACTAAAAAAGTTAAATATTTGATCGGTAAGATTCAAGTTTTACATATTTCTAGTTTTATTAATGTTTCATGCTCATTGTGATCTTAATCGCAGAAATTTATATTTCCAGGTAAGCGTGATTATTCATCTGATTATGTTTATTATCAAGGATCACGGCGAATTGATTCAACCTACCTTGGTACATTATTTACAAATTTGAAAGTAAGTTGAAATTATTAATCAAATTTCTTTTTGCATTTTTTATTGAATACTAATTTTTTATCCTTCTTATTAATTTAGATTGCTGAATTGTCTCCTAAATTAGATTACAAAGTAGAAGATGCTATTAAATTTGTTAGAAAACAAGAATCTTTGAAAGGATTAATCAATCGTTTTGTTGTACCAATAGAAAAATATTGTGGTAAACTCGAAATGCTATCTGTCGCTAATATCAATCCAAAAAATTTAAGAAATAGTTCCAGGATAAAACAATTGGTCATTTGGAGTTATAGTCTAGCGGCTTTGGAAAGAGATGCACATCATTTGGCAAACATGGAAAGACTAAAGATTCAAATTCATGGTAATTATGGAAATATTTTGGTCACAAATGTTCGCTTATGCAAATCTGTCGTTCAGTCCCAGATACTTATTACGATGGTCCAGTATTGGAAAAGCTCAAAATACTTGAGTTGTCCAGTCTTTCATTCTGTGATGCAGACTTTTTTCATGGTTTCCAGTTGATGGATTCATGTCCAAACTTACAAAGTGCACATATTTCCATGAACACGAATACTTGGTTTTTTGATGAAACTTTTAAACACGAATTTTTGCAAGATTTGGTTTTACAATTTGTAAGTATTGTTGAGATTTTTAGGTGTAACTAATTGATTTTATATTTACAGTATGGACTTGATGACGAAAATGATAACTGGAATAATTTAAAAAGATTGTTTAAGAAATTTCCGAATCTCAAACATCTCGCGTTGAAGGGCCATTGTATTATAACAGATGAACATATCGAGCAGTTAGTTCACATTTTACCCAATTTAGTGCTATTGGATGTTAGCGAGTGTCAGGGAGTCACTCAAAGAGCTGCTGATTATGTTAAAGATTATTGTAAAAGATATGGACGATCAATCAAATTTTACTTCAATGGGAATCGCGATGAAATCGATTCAGATTTGCCGCAGTTATCTACTAAACACGAAGCAATTAGTCGAGGCTTTGATTTTATGAAACATTGCTTTCGCAAAATTTTTTTCACTCTTTCACATTTTTTGATTCCAATTGATTATTGAAAAGTACTTATAAATATATTTTTTGTTCTTTACCTCGTAAGCTTATTCGAAGAGTTTCAACTTAATCTCTACTATTCATCCACTTTATGTCATCCATCTAATTAAGCGTTTAAAATTCAGCATTTTGACTGTAAAATTGAAAGTTTACTCGAACAGAGGAAATTATTCAAAGGAAAATACAAATTTTATTTGAAAACTCTCTTCAATTTCTCATACTTATTTCTAAATATAATTGTGATCAAAATCAAAAGTGCAAAACAAAACTACCGCCAGAAGCTGTTCATCCAATGAAATTAAGTACCATATATCAAAGAATTGAATCCAAGGAGATAACTCCTGTGTAAAAATAGGCTTTACCATTCTGGTAATCAATCCAATCTGTGATTCGTCATTGAATCTTTTACCGTTTTACAATCACTAGACTCGAGGCAAAACTGTAGTTTTAAGCATTTTATGATAAAATGTTGATCAATGAAATTCCCGATGATTGTTTGCTAGCCATTTTTGATTATATGGTTGACCTGGCTGATTTAATAAGCTGCTATAAAGGTAATTACCAATCATGTTTTTGTTTATCAAAAAATTTCCATAGTAAGGGGTTTATCAAATTTGACCCTTGTTCAAATCGTAAATTTAATGTTTCAATTACATTATCAAGTTGCAAAGGCTGTTAAGTTGTTCTTGAGTTACATCGAAGCAATTTGTATTTCTGTGACTTCTTATGATACCTTAGTTTTTTACGTTAAGACTAAATCAAAAAACCATTTTCAACTTACCAGAGAGCAGATTTAACTGTATCATAGTCGGTTTGTAAGAAACCATCAAAATTTGTTTCAATTTAAAGATAGTCAATGGTTCGTGAAAGACACCCATTCAGTGACGATCGCAATTTTTTGGGCAAACCTAATCGACGATTTGCTGAATTGACCAGAGATAGCTTCGCATGAGTCAACTAGCTTCAGCCTCTGAGTATTCAAAATAAAAAATCATGATAAAGTTTCATCATGTGATTATTGCATGACTAAACCATCTGACTGGTTAGGCGCAGTATTTAAATATTTACACAGATGTTAAGTCTAGTGTTGTATTGTTACGAACCGAAAATAATATTGTATTATTTTTTTTCTCAAAAATTTGGAACAAATATTAGAAGTAACAAGAACAGTACAAAATTTTGTCAATTATTAATTCATTCATCTAAACATGAAATAAGGCGAAATGATGACTTTTAATAGCAACCAGTTGTCGCTGACATAATAAATTATGCTAAAGTGCTCGATATTTGGCCCATTCTCGAGGTCTGCTCTTATGTTTTGTTTTTGTTCTGATCTGATCTTTCTGATGTTTTGTTATTTCATGAAAACAAATATGGAAATTTGAAACAAAATTAAAGAACAGGAACAAAAAATTACTTTTTTTCAATCTATTGGAACAATACAGCACTAGTTGAGTCATGTTGTGTTGGTTTCGAAAGTATTATAACTTAATATAACTGATGTGTTTGAAATAAGTAAAATTTTATTCCAGTGTGCGTTAAATGGAGACATTTAATTGCTAAGCGGACTAAAAAAGTTAAATATTTGATCGGTAAGATTCAAGTTTTATCAATGTTTCCTGCTGATTGTGATATTAATCTTAGAAGTTTATATTTCCAGATCAGCGTGGTTATTCATCTGATGCTGTTTATTATCCAAGACCATGTTTGTTCGATGCAACCTACCTGAGTAAATTATTTACAAATGTAAAAGTAGGTTGATATTATTAATGAATATTTTTACATTTTAATTGAATTTTAATTTCCTTATCTTATTAACTTAGATCGCTGATTTGTCTATCAAGTTGAATTTTGAAGTAGAAAATGTTATTCAATTTGTCACCAAACAAAAATGTTTGAAAGGATTAATCAATCCACTTGATGAACCAATAGAAAAATATTGTGATAATCTCGAAATGCTATCTGTCGATGATTTCAATCCAAACAATTTACGAAATGGTTCCATCTTAAAGCAATTGGAAATTTTTAGTTATAGTCTAGAGCATTTGAAAAGAGATGTTCATCTGTTCCCAAACCTTGAAAGACTAAAGATTAAGATTATTGGTAATTATGAAAATATTTTGCTCAGAAATGCTTGCTTATGAAAATCTATCGTTCAGTTCCAGATAATCCCTACGATGGTCCAGTATTGGAAAAGCTCAAAATACTTGAGTTGGCCTTCCGTCGTCCCTGTAATAACATTTTTTATGGTTTCCAGTTCATGGATTCATGTCCAAATTTACAAAGTGTACATATTTTCATGTGCGCTGATACTTGGGTTTTTGACGAAACATTGAAACACAATAGTTTACAAGATTTAGTTTTACAATTTGTAAGTATTATTCAGACTTTGTATGTAATTTCTTTTTTTTAGATATAAAAAATTCAGATAAATTCCAGATTAAAATCAACAAGGTTAGGTTAGGGCAAAATGGAAAGGGTCATCTGGGCAAAATTACTCCATATAAATTAATTGATTTTTTATTTGCAGTATGGATACGAAAATGATAACTGGAATAATTTAAAAAGATTGTTTATGAAGTATCCGAATCTCAAACATCTTTCGTTGAGGTGCCGCCAGGTTATAACAGATTCACATGTCGAGCAATTGGTTCGTATTTTACCCAATTTAGTGCTATTGGATGTTAGTGAGTGTCAGGAAGTCACTCAAAGAGCTGCTGATTATGTTAAAGATTATTGTAAAGGATATGGACGATCAATCAAATTTTACTACAATGGGAATCGCACTGAAGTCACATCATATCGGCCTCAGTTATTCAATGAACGTGAATTGCTTACGCGAGGCTTTGATTTCATGAAAAATTGTTTTTTCAGAGACCATATACATCTGTCACTTTTCTTGATTCCAATTGATTATTGAAAATTCCTTATTAATATATTTGTTATTTTGTACCTGGAAAGCCTATTCAAAGAGTTTCAACTTAATCTCTTTTATTCATTCACTTTATTTCGCGATCTATTTTTCTAGTCAATATTATCTATTGTCTAACCTAAAGAAATGTCTTTGTGGTCAAAGGATTACAACTTTAGATCCGTAGATAACTTTCATCGACGTTTCAAAAATAATGATGATAGGTAAAAGATGAATGATTGTTGCTATTTCTAAATAAAATAAACATTTATTCGATTGCTTCAGGGATAAATCGGTCTAAAAAAGTTTGATTTACGGTGAATTTGATTAAAAATGTTTATGGTTCAAGATATTGCAATAAAAATCAAAAGTAAAGCATTATTATTAATAGGCTAAAATTGAATAGAGGCAACAATTTAGTATTCAGTAGTTCTCACTATTAATCAGGGTTAGATTGACAAAATCGGAGATTTTTAAGAATCTCGAGTCAAGTTGGTTCCTTAAAATTAATCTCAATTTTTGTATTGCAATTAAGAATGTATCTCAATCTACTGCTGACATCTATGTGAGCTACAGGAAAACAATATGAAACTTTCACCATTTTGGCTTCAATCACTAGACTCAAGGAAAACTGTAGTTTTAAGCATTTTATGATAAAATGTTGATCAATGAGATTCCCGATGATTGTTTGCTAGCCATTTTTGAATATTTGGTTAACACAGATGATTTAATAAACTGCTATAAAGGTAAGTACCAATCATGTTTCCATGTATCATAAAAATCGTAAGGAGTGTGCGACGCAAAATTGACTGTTGTTGAAATCGTAAATATATTATGTCTCAATTACCAAGTACATCAAGTTTGAAAAGGCTGTTCAGTTGTTGAGCTACATGGACCCAATTTCTACTTCTTTGACTTCTTATGATACCTTAGTTTTTTATGTTCAGACTAAACCAAAAACTATTTTGAGTAGATTTAACTGTATCATGTTCGGTTTGTGTGAATTCAAAAAGTTGTTTCAATTTGAAGAGAGTCAATTTTTCGTGACAAACACCAGTTCAAGGACGATTCAGTGACGATTTCAATTTTTTGGGCAAACCTAATCGACGATTTGCTGGATTGACCAGAGATAGTTTCGCATAAGGCAACTAGCTTCGGCCTCTGAGTAACCAAAATAATAATTCATTATAAAAGTTTCATCTTGTGATTATTGCATGACTAAACCACTTGACTGTTTACGCGCAGTATTTAAATTTTTTACAGATTTTAAGTCTAGTGTTATATTGTTCCGAACCAAACAATGGACAATTTATCTTAGGCTCTACATATCCATGGAACAACTGATTATTTTTGTTCTCAGAAATTTGGATCCAATAGAAGTAACAAGAACAGTACAAAATTTTGTTGCATTCTTAATTCTTACAACTAAACATGAAATAAGGCAAAAAAAGTTCACTGATGTGACTTTTGATAGCAACCAGTTGTCGCTGACATACAAAATTTTGGAACAAGAACAAAAACAATTTACTTTTTTTCAATCTATCGGAACAATACAACACTAGTTGAGTCATGTTGTGTTAGTTTTCAAAGTATTATTACTTTTTAAAATTGAATAACGATGAGTAAAATTTGATTACAGTGTGCGTTAAATGGAGCTATTTAATTGCTAAGCGGGCTAAAAAAGTTAAATATTTCGGTAAGATTCAAATTTTATAAATGTTTCATGCTCAATGTGATCTTAATCGCAGAAATTTATATTTCCAGGTGTCGTTGGTTATTCATCTGATTATGTTTATTATCCAGGATCACGACAAATTGACTCAACCTGCCTGTGTAAATTATTTACAAATTTACAAGTAGGTTGAATAAAACTTATTTTTTTATTTTTAATTGAATATTAATTTTCTTATTTATCTTATTAACTTAGATTGCTTCATTGTCTCTTGGATTACATCGCAAAGTAGAAGATGCTATTGAATTTGTTAGGAAACAAAAATCTTTGAGAGGATTAATCAAAAGATATCGCGGACCAATAGAAAGATATTGTGATAAACTCGAAATGCTATCTGTCGATAATTTCAATCCAAACAATTTAAGAAATGGTTCCAGCCTAAAACAATTGGATGTTTCGAATTATAGTCTAGCGGCTTTGAAAAGAGACTCACATTATTTGCCAAACCTTGAAAGACTAAAGATGTGCACTAAAGGTGATTATGAAAATATTTTGCCCAGAAATGTTTGTTTATGAAAATCTATCGTTCAGTCCCAGACAATCGCTACGATGGTCCAGTATTGGAAAAGCTCAAAATACTTGAGATGGCCTTTCATCGTACCTTTGATAACATTTTTTATGGTTTCCAGTTGATGGATTTATGTCCAAATTTACAAAGTGCACATATTTTCATGGCCGCTAATACTTATTTTTTCGATGAAACATTGAAACACAAATGTTTGCAAGATTTGGTTATAGAGTTTGTAAGTATTGTTCAGATTTGAAATGTTACAAGGATACAAGGTTAGGTTAGGTCAACATGGAAAAGGTCGTTTTTTCAAAATTTTTCCATATAAACTAATTGGTTTTATATTTACAGGCTGGATACCATAATCATAACTGGAATAATTTAAAAAGGTTGCTTATGAAATACCCGAATCTCAAACATCTTTCGTTGAGGATTGGGAGTATTAAAGATGAACATATCGAGCAATTGGTTGACATTTTACCGAATTTAGTGCTATTGGATGTGGGAAAGTGTAGCGAAGTCACTCAAAGAGCTGCTGATTATGTTAAAGATTATTGTAAAAAACATGGACGCTCAATCAAATTTTACTTCAAAGGGAATCGCGATGAAATCGGTTCAGATTGGCCGATTAAATACGAAGTAGTTCGAGGCTTTGATTTTATGAAACATTGCTTTTTCAAATGGCATGGATTGCTTTCAAAATTTTTGATTCCAATTTAAAGGTATGTCTTTGTGGGCAAAGGATTACAACTTTAGATAACTTTCATCGATGTTTCAAAAATAATGATGATTGGTAAAAGATAAATCATTGTAATTATTTCTAAATAAAATAAACATTTATTCGATTGCTTTGGAGATGGATTGGTCTAAAAACGTTTGATTTACTATGAATTTGATTAAAAATTCTTATGGTTCAAAATATTGCAATAAAATTTCAAAATAAAACATGATTAGACTCAAAATCGAATTGAGGCAACAATTTTCAGTGCACTAGCAATCAGGGTTGAGTAGATAAAATCGGCAATTTCTTTCATAGTCACCCTTTAAGCAATAAGCTGTGATGATTATTCATTCATTTCATTTCAAGAGTATTCATAAAAAAATTATCAGCCACATATGTAAGCATTCATGGGCGCGAAGTGAGCATCATTATCTAATAGGCCTTCGTATTCACATTTGAGGTAACAAAATATCACGAATGTCTAGGTCAATTATACCTAAACATGACTTGGCTAGGCTCACTGGGTAAGCTTGTCGGACGCTGAGACGAGAAGGAAACTGATGATGATGGGAATTACTGGAGAATGAGGAAGATGAGTTGTTTACATAATCCATAGATGGATGGTTTCCTAAGTTAGGACTATTTGTGACACTGTTTCCTGCATCAGTCAAATTTATAGTGGACATGGCTTTACCATAGAAAATTGCCAGAAATTGCTTTTTTAGTTCGAATGGTAGTGAATCATTCAGAGGATCTCATTAAAAGAAATTAGAATTCAATTTGATTGATTAAAATCAGGTTTAATCACTAATCTGCGCATTAACTGGCAAAAATCAGAAAGTTTAATAAACGAGATTTTGAATTTTCGATCACACTAATCGAATTCCTTTTGAGTCTTGAAATTCCAGACATAAAATCATAGATTTTCCTTCAGTAGTTAGCGTGTTTTTAAAATTCAAAGTTTAAAAGCTCATTTGAGCACATTGTATTAATCGTATTAATAATTAAATCAGTATTATTAAATATAATTGTGACCAGAATCAACTAAAGTGCATAACAAAACTACCGCCAGAAGCTGTTCATCCAATGAAATCAAGTATCATCTATAAAGAATTGAATCCAAGGAGATAACTCCTCAGGAGTTACTCCTCGTTAAAAATAGACTTTACCATTCTGGTAATCGATCGCATCTAGTGATTCGCCATTGCATCTTTTACCATTTTACAAGCACTAGATTCAAAAGAAAACTGTAGTTTTAAGCATTTCACGATAAAATGCTGATCAATGAGATTCCCAATGATTGTTTGCTCGCCATTTTTGATTATATAATTGCCCTGGATGATCTTATAAACTGCTATCAAGGTAATTACCAATCATGTTTTTTTTGTATCACAGAATAAGTAAAATTTAATTACAGTGTGCGTTAAATGGAGCAATTTAATTGCTAAGCGGACTAAAAGAACTAAATATTTGATCGGTAAGATTCGAGTTTCATCAATGTTTCATGCTCATTGTCATTCACTTCTTAATCTTAGAAATTAATATTTTCAGATCAGTGTGGTTATTCATTTGACACTGTTTATTATTGTAGACCATGTCCGATTGATTCAACATATCTGAGTAAATTATTTACAAATCTTACAGTAGGTTGAAATATTATAAATCAAATTCCTTTTTTGCTTTTTTAATTGAATATTTAATTTTTTTATCCACCTTATTAATTTAGATTGCTGAATTGTCTTTCAAGTTTAGTGATGAACTAGAGCATATTATTCAATTTGTCACCAAACAAAAATGTTTGAAAGGATTAGTCAATCCACGCGATGAACCAATAGAAAAATATTGTGATAACCTCGAAATGTTATATGCAGATAATTTCAATCCAAACAATTTACGAAATGGTTCCATCTTAAAGCAATTGGTCATTTGGGATTATAGTCTAGAGGCTTTGACGAGAGATGCTCATTTGTTCCCAAACCTTGAAAGACTACAGATTGGAATTAGAGATTATGAAAATATGGCGCCCAGAAATGTTCGAAATGAAATCCTTCGTTCAGACAATCCCTACGATGGTCCAGTATTGGAAAAGCTCAAAATACTTGAGTTGACCTTTGATCGTCATCATGACATTTGTTATGGTTTCCAGTTGATGGATTCATGTCCAAATTTACAAAGTGCATATATTTCCAATAGCTCTACAAATTGGTTTATTGATGAAAAATTGAAACACAAATGTTTACAAGATTTAGTTATAGATTTTGTAAGTATTGTTCAGATTTGAAATAGGTTAGGTTACGTCAACATAGAAAGGGTTATCTATGCAAAGTTTTTCTTTATAATCTAATTGATTTTATATTTACAGTATGAAACCGTTGGATGTATAAACGCTATTGATCACTGGGATATTTTAAGAAGATTGTTTATGAAGTATCCGAATCTCAAACATCTTAGGTTGAGGTGCCGTAAGGTTTTAACAGATACACATATCGAGCAATTGGTGCGTATTTTACCCAATTTAGTGCTATTGGATGTAAGAGAGTCTCAAGACGTCACTCAAAGAGCTGCTGATTATGTTAAAGATCATTGTAGAAGAAATGGACGATCAATCAAATTTTACTTCAAAGGTAATGAACATGAAATCAAATCAGATTGGCCTCAATCAACCATTAAATACGAAACATTAAGACGAGGCTTTGATTTCATGAAACATTGCTTTTTCAAAGACTTTGCTGAACTTTCACCTTTATTGGTTCCATTTGGTTATTGAAAAGTACTTATTAATATATTTGTTATTTTGTACCTCGAAAGCCCATTCGAAGAGTTTCAACTCAATCTCTATGATTCATCCATTTTATTTCGCGATCTACTTTCTAGTGAATATTATCTATTGTCTAACCTTTATTAGAACTTTAGATCCGTAGATAACTTTCATCGAGGTTTTATTATAAAAATAATGATTGGTAAAAGATGAATGATTGTATAGCTATTTTTAAATAAAACAAACATGTCAACACTGTAAACACTATTGTCTATGTTCATATGGAAGTTGATTCTATTCAAACGAGAATGATTGTAATCATGATTAAAGGTGTTTCCGATGAAAAATTTATTGAGATTGAATCCGATTCATTGTCAATAAATTGTGACGTTTTGTGACGTCACAGTGACGTCACAATGGATTTTTCCGGTGAAATGTTGAGTGGATTCACTTCCGGTGACTTTTTTGACCTGGGAATGTTTTTTTCAGCTTTTAGATCATTTTTAGAACAAATTAAGTCCAAAAATGTCGATGTAAATTGATCTGAATCGACTTTTTTGGATCCAGATAACTCGATCCATTTTTCATCGGAAACACCCTAAGTCAACAAAATCGGAGATTTTTAAGAATCTCGAGGGAAGTTGAATCCTTAAAATTAGAATGTCAATTTTTTTACTGCATCTCAATCTACTGCTGACATCTATGTGGGCAACAGAAAAACAATATTAAATGATACATTCTGGTCAAACCTAGTGATTCACAGTTGAATATTATTTTGAATACAATCACTAGACTCAAGAAAACTGTAGTTTTAAGCATTTATTATAAAATGTTGATCGACGAAATTCCCGATGATTGTTTACTCGCCATTTTCGATTATATTAACAACCTGGAGGATTTAATAAACTGTTATAAAGGTAAGGACCAACTATGTTTTCTGTGTTATAAAATTCATCTATTTCCCTAGTAAGAAGTTTTATGTTCAGATTAAATAAATAAACCAGGAGCAGATTAAACGGTATCATAACCGGTTTGTGTGGAATTATAGTAGTCAAAGAGTAGAGGAAGTGCACTCTAAGTTCCTCTACTCTTTGAGTGCAGTTCAATTATGACAGTTTAGGCGCAGTATTTGAATATTTTTACAGGTGTAAAGTCTAGTTTTGTATTGTTCCGGACCAAACAATGGACAATTTATTCCAGGCTCTTCATATCCATGAAACAACTGATTATTTTTGGTCTCAGAAATCTGAAAAAAATAGAAGCAACAAGAACATAACAAAATTTAGTTCCATCATTAATTCATTCATCTTAACATGAAATAAGGCAAAAAAGTTCACTGATGTGACTTTTGATAGCAACCAGTTGTCGCTGACAGAAAATCTATCGACACAATACCACACTAGTTCAGCCATGTTGTGCTGGTTTTGAAAGTATTATTACTTAATGTACTTTTAACGATGAGTTTAAAATGAGTAAAATTTTATTACAGTGTGCGTTAAATGGAGCTATTTGCTTGTTAAAAAGACTAAAAAAGTTAAATATTTGATCGGTAAGCTTCATGTTTTATTAATGTTTCATGCTCATTGTCATCCTTTTCTTAATCACAGAAATTTATATTTCAGATGAGGTTGGTTTTTCATCTGATACTGTTTATTATCAAAGATCATTTTTGATTGATTCAACCTGTCTGCCAAAATTATTTACAAATTTAATAGTAGGTTGATATTATCAATCATATTTCTTTTTGCATTTTTAATGAAATATTCAATTTTCTTATCCACCTTATTAACTCAGATCGCTGAAATGTCTCGCGAGTTAACTTTCGAAGTAGAAGATGCTATTGAATTTGTTAAAAGCCAAAAATCTTTGAAAGGATTAATCAATCGTTTTGATGTACCAATAGAAAAATATTGTGATGGACTCGAAATGCTTTCCGTCCATAATTTCGATCCAAAAAATTTACGAAATAGTTCCAGCATGAAGCAATTGGACATTTGGAATTATAGTTTAGAGCATTTGAAAAGAGATGCACATTATTTGCCAAACCTTGAAAGACTAAGGGTTCAAATTAGAGGTGATTATGAAAATATTTTGCCCAGAAATGTTTGCTTATGAAAATCTATCGTTTAGTTCCAGATAATCGCTACGATGGTCCAGTATTGGAAAAGCTCGAAATACTTGAGTTTTATTACTATTGCTACCCTGCCAAAATTTTTCATGGTTTCCAGTTGATGGATTCATGTCCGAATTTACAAAGTGCCCATATTTTCATGAATGCTACTAATTGGTTCTTTGATGAAACATTGAAACACAAATGTCTGCAGGATTTGTTTATAGATTTTGTAAGTATTGTTCAGATTTGAAATGAAATTTTTTTTTGAATTATTCAGATAAACTCAGATTGCAATCGAAAAGGTTAGGTTAGGTCAACATGGAAAGGGTCATCTGTACAAAATTTTTCCATACAAACTAATTGATTTTATATTTACAGTATGAATACGATAATGATAACTGGAATAATTTAAAAAGATTGCTTATGAAATTCCCGAATCTCAAACTTTTTGCGTTATGGGGCGATTCGTGTATAACAGATGAACATATCGAGCAATTGGTTCACATTTTACCAAATTTAGTGCTATTGGATGTTAGAAAGTGTAACAGAGTCACTCGAAGAGCTGCTGATTATGTTAAAGATCATTGTAAAAGATATGGAAGATTAATCAAATTTTACTTCAATGGGAATAAACATGAAATCAAATCAGATTCGCCTCAATTGACCATTAAACACGAAGCAGTAAGTCGAGGCTTTGATTTCATGAAACATTGCGACAAATTTTTTGATTCCAATTGATTATTGAAAAGTATATTATTAGTAAAAGTATTAAAAGTATATAATTGTTATTTTGTACCTCGGAAGCCCATTCGAAGAGTTTCAACTTGATCTTTGTTATTCATCTAATTTATTAATATTTGGCGATCTATTTTTCTAGTGAACATTATCTATTGGCTAACCTAAAGAAATGTATTTGTTGTCAAAGGATTAGAACTTTAGATCCGTAAATAACTTTCATCGACGTTTCAAAAATAATGATGATAGGTGAGAGATAAATGATTGCAACTATTTCTAAATAAAATAAACATTTATTCGATTGCTTCGGAGATATATGGTCTGAAAAAATTTGACTAAATTTGTTTGATTAAAATTGTTTATAATTTTAAGATATTCCAATGAAATTTCAAAGTAAAACATGATTACAAGTTGGCGAAATCGGAGATTTTTAAAAATCTGAAGTGAGATTGAATTCTTAAAATTAGAAGCTCAATTAAGAATGTATATCAATCTACTACTGAAATCTATGGGAACTACAGGGAAAAACAATTTTAAACGATACATTAGGAGCAAACCTAGCGAGTCACCATTGAATATTTCTGTAAAGTACCCGTTTAAAGCAATTTTTTTTCTAAGTCTCCATCTAGTGATAATAGCTTTCAGAAAGTGGCAGCGCTTAAGATTTAGGTAATGAAAGGATTCTATAAATTATAAAAGCAATGTGAATTTTCAAAAAATCATAGATGGCGACTGTGAAAATTGCTTTAAACGGGTACTTTACAGTATTATATTTTGGCTACAACCACTAGACTCAAGGAAAACTGTAGTTTAAGCAATTTATGATACAATGTTGATCAACGAAATTCCCGATGATTGTTTGCTCGCCATTTTTGATTACATGAACAACCTGGATGATTTAATAAACTGTTATAAAGGTGAGTACCAATCATGTTTTTTTTGAATCACAGATCGTTTATTTCCATAGTAAGGAGTGTCCCACGCTAGTTTGACCCTTTGTTTTAATCATAAATATACAATGTAATATGTTTCAATTACATTATCAAGTTTGAAAAGATGTTCAGTTACATCGACGCAATTTGTATTTCACTGACTCCTTATGATACCTTAGTTTTCAATGTTCAGACTAAACCAAAAGACATTTTGAACAGATTTACTTTATCATAGTTGGTTTGTGTGAAATCAACAAAATTGCGATTTGCTGAATTGACCAGAGATAGTTTCGCATGAGTCAACTAGCTTCGACCGTTGAGGTTTCAAAATAATAGTTCATTATAAAAGTTTCATCTGAATATGGGGTGTTGAGAAAGTTTATGCACAACTTTGGGGGAAAAAATTTAATTTTCTGTTTATACGCAGTTGAGGGATTTTTTCCCCTTGCATAAACTTTCTCAACACCCCATATATATTTTTGCGTCATCTTGTGATTATTGCATGAACCAACCATCTGACTGTTTAGGCGCAGTATTTGAATATTTTTACAGAAGTCAAGTCTAGTGTTGTATTGTTTGAACCGAAAATAATATTGTATTATTTGCGTTCTCAGAAATTTGGAAAAATTGAAGTAACAAGAACAGTACATAATTTTTTTCCATTAATTCATTCATCTAAACATGAAATAAGGCAAAAAAGTTCACTGATGTGACTTTTGATAGCAACCAGTTGTCGCTGACATACAAAATTATGCTAAAGGCCTCGATATTTGGCCCTTTTTCCAATCGAACAATTGTTTTTAGGTTTGTTCTTATTGTTTTGTTTTTGTTCTGATCTGATCTTTCTGATGTTTTGTTATTTCATAAAAACAAAAATGGAATTTGAAACAAAATTCAAGAACAGGAACAAAAACAATTGTATTTTTTTATCTACAGGGCTATTCAGCTACTTAGTAAGATGTTGAACGCCAATAACTTTGCAACTAGACATATCATTGACCTGGGAATCGAATATAGTGAGTTTGGGGGACATTCATTTTTTATGTTTCAAGGACAAGGTCATTCGAGGTCATTTTTCGGAAATCGCTGCTGTTCATGTTAGAGGTCATTCTGAGGACCGGACATCAATTATGAAGACAAAAAATCTTCCTGATCAAGTTTCGACACTCTGTGATGAACGCTGCTTGAGTTATTAACATTTAAGTTCCAAAACTTCGTTGATTTAAATTTTTTATTTTTATGAAAATTCGCATTTTTTATGCTCATTGGGGCGCAATCAACCCCTAAATTCATTTTCCACTAGATTTTCGCGATCCAGGTGACTGCTCAAAGCTCCAGCAGCACTTTACACGAATGGGGTTAAGCAAGTTTATTTAACAAGGTCTTATTCAATTTTTACAGTAAAAGATGGCTTATTTTTGTCAATTAGTTCCAATTTAGTCTAAATGAGCATAAAAAATGCGAATTTTCATAAAAATAAAAAATTTAAATTAACGAAGTTTTGGAACTTAAATGTTAATAACTCAAGCAGCGTTCATCACAGAGTGTCGAAACTTGATCAGGAAGA